GTCAGAAGAGGCACAGTGGAGCCAGCCCCGATGGACCATGGTGCTGGAAGAAGGTGAGTGTTTAATTTTTTTTTTAACTCTTTAATTGCCACGGAGTATGAGCAGAGGGACACTCTATAGTGTTAGGAATACAGCGTTGTATTCCTAACATTACCTAACATTACAGTGTTTCTATCAGCTTTTCCCACTCCAACCAGTAGCCACCATGGAAGGGAACATCTCACACTTTTTTTGCAAAACAAAACACAAACATCCCCCACAAGTTATAGTGAAAAAGTACCAAATGATTTCAATGAGTATCTTGAGGTTTTTCTCTTAGCTGGTAAAGTGAGGTCCCAGGATGATCCTGACTCAGTCTCACAATACGACCATATAGACCCTGGCCTTTATATGCTAGGATTGCAGAGACACCATCTATTTTCCAATCTGACAAAATCAAACTCTTTGACCAAAGTGAGTAGATATATCCAATTTAAAAAAAAAAAAAAAATACTATTTTTCCTCCCACCATGGAAGCCTGGAAATTTCAGAAAAAGGCAGAAAATAGATGGATATTATTTTAATATTGGGGAAATCTCAAGTAATTATAAAGTGGTGAAAATTTCGTATAAACAAACTCAATCTTTCAAATTGAGCTTTGTACCAACAAAATAAATCCTTAAAAGGACCACTATAGTGCCAGGAAAACATACTCTCAGGGTCCCCCTCCCGCCGGCCTCTAGGGTGAGGAAGGGGTTAAACTTACCTCTTTCTCCAGCGCCGGGCAGGGGGCTCCTCTCCTCCTCTTCGGCTGAATGCGCGTGCGCGGCAAGAGCTGCGCGTGCATTCAGCCAGTCCATAGGAAAGCATTCACAATGCTTTCCTATGGACGCTGGCGTCTTCTCACTGTGAAAATCACAGTGAGAAGCGCTTCTCTGAAACGGCTATGTTTATAGAAAAAAGGGTTAACCCTAGCTGCACCAGGCAACCAGACCAATTCATTAAGCTGAAGTGGTCTGGGTGCCTATAGTGGTCCTTTAAACTCCTGGAATCAAAGAAAATGGCTGCGCCTATTTTGTTTTATTATATTGCTGTAGCAGAGGAATTGGTAATGTTGCATATTCATGTGGTAACTTTCTTTTCCTTATTTTGCAGAGACCGATAGTATTGGAGGTGTTTATTTGAAAAATTCCTAATGCAAGTCGTACCAGTGTTCGTATCAGTTTCTACACACACACACCTTTAAATCGAGTACAGGCCCCAACCCTAACCAGACAGGTCACAGAGACTGTAAGGAGCATGAAGACTAGCAAATCTCCCAAAATACAAAGTCCACAGGTTTGTGTTTTATTGGGACAATGCCTAATGTGTCTGTAGCTCATCCGCTCATTAAAGGAGCAGTAGAGGGTCAGGAACACAAACATGTATTCCTCACCCTATAGTGTTAAAACCACTATCTAGCCCCCTTGGCCTCCCTAAAGATAGTAAAATCTTACTTGTATTCAAGTCTGAAGCTGCTGCCTCTGCCTGTGAACTTCCTCTGACATCATCAGAAGTAGTGACCTGATCCAATGCTTCCCCATAGGATTGGCTGAGACTGACAAAGGGGCAGATCAGGGACAGAGCCAGCACAATTCAAACACAGCCCTGGCCAAACAGCATCTCCTCATAGAGAGGAATTGAATCAATGGATCTCTATGAGGAAAGTTCAGTGTCTGCATGCAGAGGGAGGAGACACTGAATGTTTGGATGCATTTTAGGCAGCCATGACCCAGGAAGGATCTCTAACAGCCGTCTGAGGAGTGGCCAGTGAAGTTATCACTAGGCTGTATTAGTTTTTGAGGATATTTTGAAAAGTGACAAAGACCCCCTGCAAACTCGCCACACCACAAACACATTTCACTTTAATCATTGCCAGTAAACGTGGAAAAAAACTGTGCCTCCAAATCATGTTTGTGCTTTTATTTCTATATATACACACTATAATGTTTACTTCGGATGTTGGAATTCTAGAGTGCTGACCTTATAACTGAACATTAGTATTGCATATTTGATACCCAGGACATACTTGAAAACGAGAGAAATCTCAATGTATCCATCCCGGTAAACTTACTATTCCATAAATAAATAAATAAATATCGTTTGTTTTTACTTGTGCCTCACTTATTTTAATAAACGTGAATGTATTTTGTTCTGATCTAAGGCATAGTCGTTTCATGCGCCGAATCTATTGGACAGTTATCTGATTTTTCCATTAAAGGAACACTATACATGCGTTCGTGACACTATAGTCCTGGTATGGGATCATGAAACTTGAAGATCTCCGTCAATCCAACTCTTTCCCACAGGAAAGCATTAGGAAACTTTTTCACATGCGTGGCAAAACACTATGCTACGCCAATCAGTATCTCCTCATAGAGATGCACTGAATCAATGCACCTCTATGGGGAACATTCATTCAGTGTCTCCATGAGCGTTGAGACACTGAATGTCAGTACTGCACACTGTGCAGAACTGGACTAGGAATCACCTCTAGTGGCTGACTAAGTGACTGCAACTAGAGGTGTCACTAGGCAGTAAAGATTTTATTTAAAAGCCTGCAGGGACAGGCCCTAGACACCATAGCGACTACGTTAGGGTGTACTAGCTCTGGTAAATAGTGTTCCTTTAACCCCTTAAGGACCAAGTGGAATAAAAGGGACTCATGACATGTCACATGTCATGTGTCCTTAAGAGGTTAAAGAGCCACTATCTTTTAAACAATAGTTATATTTTACACCTATAGTTGTGGCTAAAAACAATATCAGAGCTTCTATGCTACTAGACAGGACTAAAATGGTACCTGCCACTGCAAGCCATCGCATACATAGCCAGGGTAAATATTTCACCAATGGCTAGTGGCAATACGGAGTCCTGAATGTATACATGTAAGCAAGATCCCAGGTCCCCAACTTATACAGTACGTGCATACAGTTATTCTTGCTTTATAAGACCCCTTACACAGAGCCTGTGGTTTTTCAAGAGAAAGGGAAGGAGTGGAAATGAATAAGGAGGAAACAACTTGCAGAAGAGGCAAGTGTTTGTGCCTGAAAGTTCTGTGACCTTCCAATAGGGTGGTATATAGCAGGAAAAAAACACTAATGTAAAAAATAAATGGCTGACCTCCAGGTTTAGCAGGTACAAGGGAACATAAATTGCTTTTACGTACATTACTCAACCCCCCATTAATCCTGGGGTTCTCAAGACAAATCTAGGGGTCCATAAACACCTGTTTAATTTCAGAAGGTAATTTTTTTATGGAAAAGACTGAAAAAAAAACTATGCTACGTCAATTTTCTGAATAAAAGAGTATTTGTAAATTTTGGAGCAACACGAGATGGACTGACCAGCTTTGCTCCTAAAAACAAAAATCTTCCCAAGTCTAATGAAGAAGGAAAAAATAAGTTTATTTCTATAAAGAAAGGAAATGTTTTGCGTTTATTTTAAGACGGGACACGATCATCCTACAAGGTATCAATGATTACATCTCACAGTATATTTTCCATAACCGTCTACCCCCATAGTGATCACATAATCTATTTAAACAATCGGTAAATACAATATAGTTGCTAAATTGGTGCAAGTATTATTCATACAGTAAAATGACCTGTAAATTATACCAGTGTATGAACGAACGGGTATATTGTTTAATATTTTGCAACATGTTTTCAGTAAATGTTCTGTGATTAGTAGATTTGAGCGTGTAGGAGTTGGGGATCTCTCACTATAAAACAGACCATGAGTAAACCTACTTATTGAGTAACAAGGGAGACAGGTAAGTTAAAAGGAATGGGGGACATTCACATTCATTTTTATTAGTTTTTTCCCTTTCACCAAGAATTTGCTCACATCGCATACCTGTGTTTTACAGTGAAATTCATTAAAGTACAGAAAACAAGTAGGAGAGTCTGACACAGATCTAGGGGTTCAAATACACGAAAAGCTGAATGTGATGGACTGGAGTCTTTATTTAAGCCTCTGTCATTATATGTAACTAAAAAAATGCATGGAATGGTTGGCTTGTAGAGAGGGTAAAGGAAGTGAAGTAAAAGCATGTAAGGTTTGGAAGATATCAATGTTATGTTAAAAGTTGGGTGCAGTTTAGAGAGGAGCAGTGTAAGGGGACAAATAATTAAGAGAGATAGCAGAGCCTGATAGAAAGTGCACAGAAAAGGGCCGATAGAGAAGGGGCATCAGGAAAAAGGCTAGAGGAAATAAAAAGGTGCACAGAAAAGGCAGACAAAGAGAGAATGATCGAAAGGAGTGGGCACAAAGATGATGCATGGAACGATGTGGTGAGCGGAAAAGTTGGGAGGGGCAGATTTAGATGCGTTGGTTAAGGGGGACAGACTTAGAGGGCGCAAACAGAGAACAGGCAGTTTAGGGGATGAGACAGGGGTGGCAGATTAGGGGGTGGTCAAGGAAGGGGCAGATTGGGGGCTGGACACAGAGCGGGCAGGTTACCATACAGAGTGGGCAGGTTAAGTGGGCAGTCAGAAGGGCAGGTTAGGGGGGCACACAGAGGGGACAAGTTATGTGGGGCACATTGATAGGGAGCAGGTCACACAGAGGGCAAGTTAGGGGGGCACGTTTAAGGGGGTAGTCAGGGATGGGGCAAGTTAAGGGGTCAGACAGAGGAGGGGCAGGTTAGAGGCGTAGCCAGGAAGGAGGCATGTTAGAGGGGTAGTCAGGGATGGGGAAGATTAAAGGTGTAGTTAGGGATGGGACAGACAGTAAGATGGCACATTAAGTGGCTAGTCAGCTAGTGAACAGGTTACATAGGATGCAGGTTAGAGGGGTAGTCAGGGGGCAGTTAGGTAGGGGTAATGAGTGAGGGGGTAGGTTAGTAGGACAGGTTAGGGGATAGTCAGAGGGGGGGCAATGAGTGAGGGAGTAGGTTGGTGGGGCAGGTTATGGGGTAGTTAGAGAGGGGGCAATGAGTGAGGGGGTAGTTTAGTGGGGCAGGTTAGATAGAGTGCAGGTTAGAGGTAGTCGGGTGGCAGGTTAAACAGCCAGACACAGAGGGTTGGAGTCGGGGGGCCGATTAGAGGGGTGGTCAGGCGGGGGGTAACAGTTGGAGTCGAGGGACAGGTTAAGCGGCCAGACACAGAGGGCACAGTTGGAGTTGGGGGGCCGGGAAGGGTACTCAGAGGGGGGTGGAGGCAGTTTAGAGGGGTACTCAGGGGGCCGGTTAGAGGGGTACTTGGGGGGCAGGTTAAGCGGCCAAACACATATGGTACAGCTAAAGCCGGGGGTCGGTTAAGCGGCCAGACACAGAGGGTACAGTTGGAGCTGGGGGTCGGTTAGAGGTACTCTGAGGGGGCAGTTAGAGGTACTCAGGGGGGGCCGGTTAAGCGACCAGACACAGAGGGTACAGTTGGAGTCGGGGTGCAGGTTTGAGGGGTACTCTGGGCTGGTTAGGAGGATACCAGGGGGCCAGGTTAAGTGGACACATAGGGTACAGCTGGAGCCGGTTAGAGGTACTCTTGGAGGGGGGTGGGTGGTTAGAGGGGTACTCAGGGGGCCGGTTAGAGGGGTAATTAGGGGGCTGATTAAGCAACCAGACAGAGGGTACAGTTGGAGTCAGGGTGCAGTCAGAGGTACTCGGGGGAGGCTGGTTAGGGGGTACTCGGGGGCCAGGTTAAGCGGACAGACACAGAGGGTACAGTTGGAGCTGGGGGTCGGTCAGAGATACTATGAGGGGGCAGGTTAGGAGGGTACTCAGGGGGGTGCCGGTTAGAGGGGTAGTTAGAGGTACTCGGGGGGCTGGTTAAGCAACCAGACAGAGGGTACAGTTGGTGTCGGGGTGCAGGTTTGAGGGGTACTCAGAGGGGCAGTTAGAGGTACTCGGGGGGCTGGTTAAACGGACAGACACAGGGGGTACATTTGGAGACGGGGGGCCTGGTTAGTGGGGTACTTGGTATAGTTGGAGCAGGGGGGCAGTTAGTGGGGTACTCGATAGTGTTGGAGCCGGGGCAGTTAGAGGTACCGGGAGGGGCTTGTTAGAGGGTACCGGGGCGGATACATTGTGCCAGCGTACCCGGGAGGGGGGCTTGTTAGAGGTAAATTGGGGCGAAATAGAGGTACTGGGGGCGAAAGAGGTAATTGGGGCGAAAGTTGAGTATGCACTGGGGCAGGTCCCAAATAAATGTGAGTACCAATTCATGTTTGTGTTTAGCTGTGATTTTCATCTTACTCATTTACTGTACCCACACATATTATATACCGTTTTTCTCACCATTAAATGGTCTTTCTAAAGATACCATTATTTTCATCATATCATATAATTTACTATAAAAAAATTATAAAATATGATGAAAAAAATGTAAAAAAACACACTTTTTTGAACGTTGACCCCAAAAATCTGTTACGGATCTACATCCACCAAAAAGCACCCATGCTAAATAGTGTCTAAATTTTGTCCTGAGTTTAGAAATAACCAATGCTAACATGCCAGCCAATGTAATTCACCCCCATCAAACCATATATTTTTGAAAAGTAGACACCCTTCGTTATTTCAAATGGTGGCATTTTAACACTTTCCATGCACTAATTCTACCACCAGTCTTTGTCAACATTTTGGGTAGTCCTTTTTTTTGTTATTTTTCACACACACTGTACTTTAGGCATGTATTCTTAGCTACTGTTATTTATTACTGCCAAATATGTGTTCAGCAATATCACCTGAGTACAGTGATACTACCCACGTACAGGTGTGTGGGATTCTCTAGGGGCTAAAAGACCTTATTTGGAGGGTGCGCATTCCAGTTTTCCAACTTCACAGCGGGTCATCATGCACCCATGTCTTATTTGGGACATTTTTTAAGCCAGCCAATGTAATTTACCCCCATCAAACCATATATTTAGAAAAGTAGACACCCTAGGGTATTTAAATGAGGGTATTTTAACACTTTCCATGCACTAATTCTACCACCAGTCTTTGTCAAACTTTTGGGTAGTCATTTCTTTGTGTTATTTTTCACACACACTGCACCCTTTAAATTGTTAGGTCATGACTTAAATAATAATATTTCAAGTGTACTAGATATGTATAGATGTAATTTTCGTGACATACGTATAATGTATGGTTGTTGTTTTTTTTTTTTTTTTTTTGTTTTTTTTGAGCAAATATCTCTACAGAAGTCATATCTACTAATTATGGCCAAAAGTGTGTAAGCACTCCCACCCCCCCACCCCAATTTCTCTTCTGTACCCCATACCCCTCCCACCAAACTACATAAAATGTACCATAAATAAAGAATTTAAAAAAAAATGTGTTAGCACAAGCATTTGCAAAGTCAGTAACATAGCTTACACCCCCTACATGATAACCATCCTGTGCTTTCTCCATACCACCTAAATCATGTAAATATTACCAGCTGAAGAAAGGAAATCTGTAAATCTCCAAAGGATAAGGAACAAAGGTGAATAATTTCCCCCTGATAAAACATAAACTATCTAGACCCTGCTTCTCTTACCGGCCTTTCGTCTTTGCTTTTTTTGATGCCCTCATTGAGTTCTTCCTCACCCGAAGAGTTTATTTTTTTGCTCTTGTCTGTGTCCTTCTCACTGTCACATTCTTTCATTGATTTTGGTTCTGATATTTCCTTCTTACTTAAGTCCTCACTATGACTTTCTTTAACATCCCGTACCTTTCCTTCTTCTTTTCTTTTCGGTTTTCCAGAAGTATCTTGAGATTTTCCCTCTGACTTCAACTTGGACTCTTTCCTGTAGTATTTTCCTTCTCTGCCTTTATATCTGGTTGAATGGGGGTTTCCATATTTGTCCCTGTGACCTCTTGACGCATCAGTACGATCATCCAACTCTAACTTTTCAAGCTGCCGGGAGTAATGCTTCCGCTCATGAACCCAGTGGTCTGTTCTATCTCTCTTCTCCTCAGCGCTGTCCCTCCAAGCACCCTGCTCTCTGTCCTCTTCCCACCGACCATATGCAGTCTGGTCCCACGACTCTCTGCCATTCCCCCATTCGGTTCTTGTTGTTCCTAAAGGACTATGGGTAGAGCTACATGATGTATAACTAGGTGTGTGAGATCTTGGGGACAAAGAGCGACTCACAGGACTACGGGAGCGCGTCATTTCATTTCGATACCTGTATAAGAAGATGACATAGCTGTGGTAAGAAACATCAACCAGTTCATTTTGTAATTATTACAATTATGATTCTTTAAAGCGGAATGCCAAACATCCACACATGTTAAGAACAATTCATAGCTTACATTTATTTACAGGGGTAGGCAACTTTTGGCACTCCAGATGTTGTGGATTATATCTTTCATAATGCACATCAGGGGAGATGTCTTCCACAACATCTGGAGTGTCAAGATGCCTACTCCTGGCCGTTAGAAGATAGTTTGATTTAATGGATTTTTTTTTTTAAATTAATGGTTTTTTTTTGGTTTTTTTTTACTTTCAATTAGTTTTACTCTATAAGCCCATCCTTTCTGTTCCTCCCACACAGTTCGCAGTATTTCATATTTTTTACTTTAAAATGCTGGTGTATATGATGTTAGTTTTTAGGTTTCTAGGCGCTGTACTTCAGCTTACTGCACCGAAAGTTCTTGCTGTGTCCATAAAGTACTGCTTAAGCTCTGCTCTGCAGTGTTACAGCTCTGCAGTGTTACAGAATGTTAAGTTAATATCATGATTGGCAACCAGTAGAGGCAGTCTTAACCCTAAACAGTCCCAAATGTGCAATCCCGGTTTGGACCTTCACAGGAATTCCCTGAAAAAACGAGAATCCACCAAAAGAACCTAGAAGACTGTCCTAAAGTCCTGCTGGTTTTAGGACATCTACTTATACATCTTTACCCTGCAACAGCCTTGGTTCCCACGTATGGGGTGAGATCTAAACAAATACACAGCTCTCTATGCTGTTTCCATTATAACAAAAGGACTGTTTTTGTGAATAGCAAGTTCTCTTCAAATTTCTTACAGACATATGACATATGGGCATTATATTACGCTAGTGCTAGCTGGCAGTATCTTTTGCTTAGTATTATTTTTATTTTCAGTTTTTTGAGTTTTATATGCCATTTTTTTTTACATTTACCAGAATATAACCTGTAGAATTTATACAAGAGGATTAGGACATTCAAATGACAGACAAACAACGTATGGGTATATGGGAACCGTAACTGTTTATTTGCCTGTGAGGAGGGCATTCCCATATATTACAATACCCTAGTGATGCCGTTTGAAATTTAATTTGCCTTTGTAACATGTACTTAATTATGTGTGTTCCATACAGTTGATATTGTGTGTGTGTGTGTAAATATATATATTTATACTAATGCAAGGGGACTCATATTGGTTCTTTTGCATGCATATCATTTTATATATTTACCCATTTATACTTTGAGTTGCAAATCTTCTTCTTCTATACACTCATGTATCTTGGTAATGGAACCACAAAATAGACATTTCTGATTTACCTTTAAGCTACATGTCATTGTAATTGTGCTTAAGGTTTCATGATCTATTGGCTGACATCGAGCCTATCCTTAGCAATAAAAAGTTTCTTTTAAAAGGAGTTTTTCTATTGAAACCATTTTGAACTATTTGAGCGTGGTATTATTTTATTTTTTACCTCTCTAACTTTAAACCCCCTTTACTGTAACATTGTCTAACATTGTCTTTGGCCCTACATACAAGTACGCTGCATACACTTACTATATTCACTTACGTAAACACAATACATGGCAAGCAGGAATATGCACATATATATCGACATATGCAATTGTCAAATATGAACATATATATTTATAAATGTTTTATTCTTGTTAATACATTTATTGAACTTATTTTATCTGCCTTTTCTTTTTGGTGGTGAAGGGGCCCAGGGGATGCCTTAGAATTTTGTATCTACATGCACCTAGCATGTAAATATGACCCTCGTTGGACCTCCATCTTAATATAAATAAGGTCAATGATGACATAATCATATTGAGTTTAATATACCTGTCTGTGTCACGGAACATATCTCTTCCCCTCTGCGAATGGATGTCGTGGATAATGGCATCAACATTCTTACCAGGTTTCTGCAAAAACAAACAAATATAGTCAGACCGGGAAAAAATGGTTTGATGGATAACTATTTTTTCTTATATTTCCATCTTGCTGAACCATGCATTGATTAATTCAAAAACGTCTTCCTTTACTTTTTACAAATTTGAATTACTTTTTAGTGCTAATTAATTTGCCAGTCTTGATTTTAAACCATCATCTTGACCCAGTGGTGTAGCGTGGTTTGCCAACGCCCAATTCCCTTACCCTTGGACCTTAAGCACTCCTCGAGTCCTTTAACAGGCACCTACGTAGCCTCGCTCCTCCTTCCTTATCTGCCTCATCTCCGTGCAAAATGTGCAAAAAACAGCTTTAGAGGATCACTATAGTGTCAGGAAAACAAACTAATTTTCCTGACGCTATATAACCCTTAGGTCCCCCCAACCCACTAGGCTGAAGGTGTTAAAACCCCTTCAGCTACTTACTTTAATCCAGCGCCAGACTCCCTCGGTGCTGATGACTTCTCCTCCCACTCTGACGTCAGAGTGGAGCGGAATGCGCATGCGCGGCCAAAACCGCACACACATTAAAATCGCCCATAGGAAAGCATTTCTCAATGCTTTCCTATGGATGTTCTGCACGCTGAATTCGATTTTCGCATTCACCGTCGCAGAAACGCCTCTAGAGGCTGTCAGGAAGACAGCCACTAGAGGTTGGATTAACCCTGCAATGTAAACATAGCAGTTCCTCTGAAACTGCTATGTTTACATCTGAAGGGCTAAAATCTGGGGGACCTGGCACCCAGACCACTTCATTGAGCTGAAGTGGTCCGGGTGACTATAGTGGTCCTTTAAATACATTTTATGTGATTCTGCTATTTCACTCTACTTCAAAGTCTAAAACCATAACAGAACTCTCTAGTGGTTATAGTGCAAGGAATTCCCTAGTGTCATCACACGGTAAGTAGCTAAACAATTTTGGAAAGATAACACACTTACCTGGATCCCTCAGGTGCCTCCAATACTGTAATTTCTTCACCTATAGGTAAATAGTACATATGAAGAAGATGCCAGGCCACATGAGCTTGGGAAACCAAGTAAGTATCAAACTGTGAAACAGGTCCATGGGACTCCTGGCACCATAACCAAAACAGTGAGTTATAGCTCTATGCTCTATCTCAAAAGTGAAAAATGAAATAGAAATACTCTTCATTGTAATAAATGCAAAAAGGTAAAATTCTAAGCTTTCTTATTTCTGAGAAGCTGCTCTAGCTACTGGACAACTCTCCATTACAAAACAATTCAACACAGAGGGTATCCCTATATAATTGAACAAAAAAACCCTCTTTACAGAGGTGATGGGTGAAACTATTCAGTGCCTAAAATACAAAGCAGCTCAAACACATAAACTGGAATACCCATATTTCCACAATAAATTAACAATATATAGAAATGTAGTGTAAAATTCGCACTAATACAAATATAAGTGATAAGAGGTTCACTTACCCCAATAATTTTGTGTTGTCTTAAATTCAGGACTATGCTTTTAAACATAAAGCACCCACACTTGTCGTTGTGGAGGTACATCTCAGAGGAAGGGGTGTGTTGCTGCCCAAAGAGCACATAGGCTTACGTACGGAGCCAATATTATATAGGCTCCAGACCATGTGAGTGGTTTCAGTTTTTTACTTTCATCTCTCATTTTCACCCAAACCATCTACACTATATGTTTCTTATCTCTTTTTTCCCTTCATTGTATGTTTAACCCCTTAATGACACATGACGGAAATATTCCGTCATGATTCCCTTTTATTCCAGAAGTTGTGTCCTTAAGGAGTTAAAAGCATATTCCTGAATTTCAAACAACACAAAATTGTTGCGGTAAGTGAACCCCTCTATCACTTATATTTGTATTAGCGCTCCACTAGGTGGTGTATTTTACACTACATTTCTAGGTATCCTGATATACCCTACCAGGGGTGGACTGACCACTAGGGCAGATCGGTCATGGACCGAG